CTTCTCCAGAAAGTGCGTTCGACAGATATTGTAGTACTAGACGGAGACTTGAATGCTCAGGTCGGGTGTCTAGGCACAGAAGAGAGTCGTTTAGGTGGCCGATGGGGACTCGTTGGTCGCAGGACAGATAACGGGGACCGTCTACTGCAACTTTGCACAGACCACAACCTGTTTCTGGATAGCACTAACTTTCGGCACAGTCATCGCCGATGTGCCACCTGGCGTCCTCCCTCTGCATCTCAAGCCTGGACTCAGATTGATCACATCGCGATCAGCTACCGCTGGCGTGGTTGTGTTTATTATTTATTTATTTATTTATTTGAACACATAAATATTGGTACAAGAGAGCGCCAATATATATGCGCCACACAAAACAATGGGAATTCGAAGAGAAGTAGAAAGAAAAAAAAACTAAGGAACGCAAAAGAAAAAGAGAGTAATGACGAAGAGGTACAATCAGAAGAAATCTTTCAGGTAAGGGAGACACAACCACTTTTTATGAAGAAAGTAAATGAAAGTTACAGCAGGATCGCCACTGGCTTCTGTTCTGAGCCATATCTGATAACGTCTCTAGCCACCGTGCAGCACCATCTCTCGGACCCCAACCAGGGAGTCGTGAAGGACCAACACAAGCCAGTCCTTTGCAGCTTTCTTTCATGCCACGACACCATGTCATACACTGACCACCTCTCCGCTTCTTCCAACCAGTCCCAGAGTCGGCAAATAATGCCCGACGTGGAATTCTCTGGGACGACATTCGGAGAACATGTCCAAGCCACCGAAGTCGGTGTTTCAAGATGGTGACACCAATTGAATTATCATCTCTGTGCCCGAACACACGATGCCGAACCTCTGCATTACTGACATGGTGTTGCCACTGAATGTCAGCAATCCTTCGGAGACAGCGATGATCGAACACAGAGAGTCGTCTAACGTCCTCAACTCGGAGAGGCCAGGTTTCACAAGCATAGAGCAAAACTGCTCTCACCGACGCGTTGTAGATCCGACCTTTTACAGCCAGGCTAACATCACGAAGGCGCCAAAGGTGGCCCGAATTGGCATAAGTCGCTCTGGCTTTCACTATACGTGCATTGATCTCATCACTCACACCCCCACCAGCACTTATGCAGCTACCCAGATACACGAACTTCTCAACTACGTCTATTTGCTCACCATCCAGGGTGAGTACAGAATTGGAATCCTGCCAGTCTTGTAGAAGTACTTTGCACTTCGAAGGTGCAAAGCACATACCATACCTACGGACACTGATTGCCAACTGATTAAGTGTGGATTGCATGCCTTGGGCATTATCGTACAGTAAGACAATATCGTCCGCATACTCAAGGTCGAGAAGTCTTTCTCCAGGCAACGGATCCACACCGCCATTACTTACATTCATCAGAGCTGTTTCCAGAATGTCATCGATGGCAAAGTTGAAGAGGAATGGTGAGATTGGGCAACCCTGCCTAACCCCACTGCTCGAATGGAACAATGGAGAGAGGTGGTTGTATACCCTCACTCTGCCTGAGGTGTTTGTATATAGGGCCTTTAAGATTTTAATAAACTTCTCAGGCACACCCTTCTTCAATAGACAATCCCAGAGAACAGTCTTGTCCAACGAATCGAAGGCAGCCCTGATGTCAAGAAACACTACGATTGTTGGCCTTTGAAAAGTATGGCGGTGTTCTAACATTTGGCGGAGGGTGAAGATATGATCAATACATCCTCGACCAGAACGAAACCCAGCCTGCTCCTCGCGAGTCAATCTTTCTCGGGTTTTGAACAACCTACGAAGAATGACGGAAGCCAATAGTTTGGACGCAATCGGAAGTAGACTTATCCCCAGTGGTCTAGTGGCTAAGTGCTCGCGCGCGAAACCAGTGGGTCCTGGGTTCAAATCCCGCGGGGTGCGGGATCGTGGATGCGAACTGCTGAGCAGTCCTATACTAGGACGAAGCGGCCGTCCAGTTTTTCGAGGTTTCGCCCCCGAATGCCCTGGTAAGGCCGACAGTGAAGAGAATCCGCTCTCCCTCTCGAAATACTCTCACACGGCCACGCGTATACAGCCTCTGCCAGGGAAGTCCTACTCACTGCCTTCTCCTACCAAGGGTGTTGTTTACGAAAATGAGAGGACGAAAAGCGAATGTCCGGCGCTTTAACCGGATTCCAAATCAATGGTGCACATGGGCTCCAGTATCCTGAGGGAACGAATGGCGTATGAACCAATTTCTTGGTCACCGGCTACCATGGGACTGCATCTCCTTACGATGCTCCACTGCCTTGTGGGTTAGACCTTTAGGTCAAAGGCTCGGGGAGTGGCCCCCTAAGATAACCACCTGCTTCGGTTTGGGCACCCGGGCAGTATCACAGCCCACACACAAATGATGAACTGTTTATGTCTATGGAAATTACTTTTCTCGCTTCAACTAACAATCAATTGATCCCTGTTAGCAGTCGCATATGTGCTGTTCGGCTAAACGGCTCCGCAAGAACTCGGAAGGATAGGGACACATGTTGCCGTTTCGTTGTTTCTGCCTACGCTCACATTGACTGCAGCGCGAATGAATTGAAAGATGACTTTTACAAAAAGCTTTCTGAACTTCAGAAATCTAAACGCTCAGACATAGTACACGTAGCACGTGACTTTAATGCCCAGGTAAGTAGCTTAAACCGAAAAGAAAGATATTTGGTGGGCATTTTAGTATTCCGGTTCAATGAACAGATAATGGTGACCATCGGCTACAACTGTGCTCAGACAATCGTTCATTTATGGCAAACACTAATTTTAAGCATAAGGAAAGACATAGTCTAAAATGGTGACCGCCTGCATCAAACCAACGATGGACTCAAATAGACCATATTGCCATCAGTTATCGTTGGAGAGGGTAGGTAGAAAACTGTCGATCGTTCTGGAATACCTGTTTGGACTCGGATCATGCTTTGATACGAGCACGCATTGACTTGTGCCCCGCTGAACGCAGAAAAACCACATTACGAAGACCTATTACGGTTGAACTCAGTGATGAGGAAGCCAAAAGTAGATTCCAGGAACAATTGAGGTCACACTTAGGTATTTCTGAAAACGAGGCTGCACCCAAGTGTTGCTTGGAAAGATATACAAACAGCTGTGGAAACAGCAGCGACTTCTATTAGTGATTTAAACCAAAGGGTCATGAAAAACTGATGGATTTCTACGAAGTCCATTTCACTAATAGATTCTCGTAAACTCATCACATCAGTCTGTGAACATGATGGAGAGCAAAAACAAATCAGATCCACGTTAACCAAAAGTCTACGGAACGACCATAAGCAGTGGTGGGCAACGGAAGCAAAAGAGATGAAAAATACATTGGTTGTAGGCAACACAAGACAGCTTTTCAAACGAATGGAAGGAACTGGAATTAAGAGATCAAATGTGAGACGATCTCGGAAAAAGACGATACTATTATCTGCTCTCAGTCCAGACGTTTAGAACGATGGGCGGAACACTAAGGAGCAGTTCAGCCGGCCTTCAGCTACTCTACAGTTACCCAATTTTCAAACAGCCTGAATGGAACATTGAAGTAGGCCCCCGATTTAAAAAGCCACAGCTAATCTGAAACGAGAGAGAGCAGCTGGTCCAGATGGATTTATTCCAGAGGTCTTTAAGGATGAAGGTTCAGTTTCAGAGATTAGGTTGACTAATATTCCAGCTATAAATCTGGGAACTGGACGTGATTCCATCTGATCGGTCACAATCACTGATCATCCCAATATATAAGGATCAAAATCATCCTGTGATAACCACAGAGGGATTAGTTTGACTAAGATAGCATCTAAAATACTAGCCTCAATAATTATCGGACACCTAACACAAACTAGCGAACTGCAAACACGAGAAAATCAGGCTGGTTTCAGACCTGATCGTGGCTGCATCAACCACATATTAACTACTCGCCAGATTTTAAAACACAGGAATGTTTATCGACGTCCGACAATGGTGGCCTTTCTTAACTTAAAAACAGCATTTGAATCTGTAGACCGAGGTTCTGTGGGTGCCATTGAAAAATGTACCTCAGAAGTACATAAACCTTGTGAATGCTTTTCCCTTGAACACTACCAGTCAATTCAGAGCTTATGAGAAATACCATCTGATTTCGCGACCCCAAACGGTGTCCGACAAGGCAGTAGACTATTTCCTTTTTAAAGAGAACAAGAACGAAGACTGGTGCAGAGTAATATGAATTCATTTTATTTTGTTAGGTTCTAGTCAGCTGCTTACAACCTAAAATATCTGAAAATCAACGTTATTACAAATATTTGACATACTTATACATACGAGGGTGATAAAAGATGGATATATGTATCATGATATAGCGAAGATTTCAAGAGTTAATAAGGTTACGAAAATTTGTTTTGGACAAATAAAGTTTGGAAGGGAAAGTCCCAGAACATTGAGATAGTGATTAGAACTCATGGAGTTAACAAAAATTAAATGATTGTTTACTTAAGCAACTGAAAATAGATTATCTTACTACTGTCACATTCCTCTACAGTCGGCAGCATATCTTTTAGTCTCACTGTTCTACAAACCACCTGTCTGGTGTAATGGGGCCTAAAAGAAGCATGTGTTTCAAACAATATAGCTCAGTTGAGTCACCACGATAGGCCATTTCGACCACCACACTAAAGTAGTAACTATGGTTGGGACCTTTCTATACTCCACATCGAACCCATACATACGAAAATATTTTAACCACTAGGTAAATATAAACTGAATTTAGAAACTTCAGCCACAAAAAGAAAATAATGACACTACTTCAATGTTCTCCTTTTTTTTCCTTTTTAATCACAACAAAAACGTACATCTCTAACGGTCCACATACTAGTTGTACCGCAGTACAAAGAAAACGTTTTGTATGCATAAAATTTACTGAAAACAATTAAATTGCGAAATACCTTAAAAGACGAACTTTTCAATGGGAAGGAAAGATAGACATCATCAACATAGGAAAACTCACCCTCTGTGTTTGCCCCACTAACACCATAGAAATGACTGTGTTGCATCCAAGAATATATAAACACTTGCACATCTCTAAACAATATGAATGAGGTCACATTAATACAAACCTGCATGTTTCATATAATTTGTTGAAAACGTGTGGATCGGCTAAAAAACTGAAAACAGTCTGCAAAGCCCCGGTATTGCCCTCCTCCGGAACTGTGCGATGATATAATACATGTGTCATTGGAAGCCAATATATACAAAAATTCTATTGGAAGAATGAGGAAAACAAAGCACTCACAATAATGATAAACTGTCGAAATAATGTTGAAGGTAGACCAAGCAAGCAATGAGTGGTGAAATTAGGAGGAGGATTTTCTATTAGAGACAACAAACATGAGTTACTAAGCGATAGTTCCTTCCGAAACATCAGTTGTTTCAAATTCTTTGATATTTTGTAGTAAGCGAACGTCCCATAGATAGTTTTTATTTCTCCCTTGTTTGCGAAATGATTAAACTGGAAAAAATACTCCAATTCCAGTGGTGATGAGAAAGGCAAAACATTTGAAAACAACTTGAAGCAATCATTTAGCTGAGACTTAACCTTCCACCCAGAAGGTATGCTACTGAGGACAATTTTCGACAAGCATATTAGAGGAGAAGAATTATTATCCTGAAACATAGAAGCAACACAGCATTAATAAGTCCCGCTTGTTTTGTATTCAATACTTTTGTGATAATCTGGTGTTGAAATGGTTCAAATGGTTGTGGACGGAATAGAAGAAACTTTCGTTTAACGAGCTTCCGTGTCTAGTTGCAGTAGATTACCAATACCTCTATGCAGGAACCTAGATATATTTAACGGTAATAGAGGAAAAAGAAATTGGTAAATCGTAGTAAGATATTATCCTTTGTCCTTAAAAATAAGTCAGGTTGCCTCTTAAAGGATTCCTGAGAAGTTGCTTGGATTACCTCAGCCAGCAGCACTTGACAACTCTTAAGGAGTAGTTGTCTACAGTCCGTTCTGTTGAGTTGTGTCTCTAGTTTCTTGGTGTTACCTCTTAGGTTTGTGTTGGAGCTAAACCTAACTAGGCATTTAAGGGGATGTTCAGAAGTGTCAGAGATGCTGTAAGTCATTAGAAGTTTACCTCTAAGATGCCTTTACTCTAATGAATAAAGGTTTAGCGACTGGAGGCGCTCCTCATAAGGCTTGAATTTGAGTCTCAGAACTGGTGTAAAGCAATGCATGGCTTTGGATTTTCATTTTCCTACCTCTAGAGACAACTTCCGTGATACTTTCATTCACTTAATCCAAAAAATATCCGTAAACAATTAGCACTGTTCCATACTTTCAGAGTCATCATCACATAGATGTGTTGCGGTGAATAAATCACCTAAATAAATAGTCCAGGATGTATTCAACATTCATAATAACTTCGCTAGTTTTGATGGACACGTCCTAGTTGAAGACACTTGATTACACGTCCGCAACAGATCAAGAGTGCGAATGCCGTGCAACGCCTACCTCGCAACTACTAGTTATCTCCGAGTTGTCCTAGACTACCTTGAAACTACGATTCAAACACACGAACGAGTGAGGAAACTTTACTTTGTGACACACCTACAGTTAGTGATCGTCCAATCGTGCCGAAACAATATCGACGCAAAGCCTTCAATACATTGTACGAAATATCTGATCCACGTGTTTGAACTACCATAACGCTCACAACAATGATTTTTACTGCCTAATATGATTGAAGACGTGAGAGAGTAGCATACTCCTGTGTAATTTTCGGAAATCTCGAGTGTTTAGGCTCAACGAATGTTCATTAGGTTCTTTTGCAACCCATCACGCTCGTTTCGATCATTCTTTGGCAGTACTCCTATGAGATCCAAGTGGATACTTTTACTTTCCAAAGTGCGTGAACCGTTTCATATGATAGGGAGAAGAAATACCTATCAAGGATAGTACTGCTGGAACAAACGCCCTCAATTTCGTCAAGTGACTACCACTACTACACAGACCGTGGACGCCATTTCGAAGTTGGACTTTTCCGTTGTTTTGCTACACTAATAAGAACCATATGATTCTGAACAATCGCCTACCACCCACCAAATAATTAAAAAAACGACAATGAATGAAAATTAGTGTTTGAGAGTAAAAGAATGGTGAGAGAAGCAATCCAGTTGGGAAAAAATACAACAAGAAAGAATTGTCCGGGTAAATACGTTACGCTCACCTTTATGGAAACAGTTACAGCACGATATCTACTGGCTTCTCTCCTGAGCGATGTCGGATAGCGTCTGAAGCCGTTGAGTTGCACCATCTCCAGGGCCCAAGCAGAGAGTAATGAAGGACCAACAGAAACCAGTCCTGTACAGCATTTTTGCATACTATGACAAAATTGCATACAATTACAACCTCTCCTGCTTCGCCAAATAATGCACGACGTGGAATGTACTGGTACTACATTCGTTAGACATTTCCAAGCCATTGAAGTAGATGTTTCAATATAGTGACATCATTTGAATAATCGTTGCTGTACCTATTATTCTTTACTTTTCTCCATTATTCCTTCCCCGGTTTTTGAGAAAAACTGCTGTACTGCGGAGAGTGCTGAAGGCAGTTAGCAAGACGTGTGATGAATCTTTCGAGGTCATAATTAATATGGTTGTGGATAGACATCTAAAGTCATGCAAACTCCTGGCAGGTGTTGTTTTATCAGATACTAACCATCCCCTTCACTCTTATCTTTCTCCTTGTATGTCTTCTGGTAGAACGAGACGTAATTACATTAAAATTCATGCACTCAGGCAAAAGTATAAAAGTTCTATAATACCTTACCTAGCAAATATACTCTGTGACGAACAGGTTGTTAGAGTTAACGTAGTCAATAACGTGCATTCTTAACATGTCTCTAATTTGAAAAGTTGTACAGTTTTTCAGGGTTTTTTCCCTTTTTGTCTTCGTTACTGTTTTTTTGCGTAAGTAACTTGTTGAAATACCTTGTGCTGAGAATTCTATATTGTACTTAAATAAAATGTTGAACAAAGCCATTAAATAAATAAAAAAATGAATAAAATAACACACGACTCCAAACATTTGTATTACAAGCATGGTGTTACCACTGGATGTCAGCAATCCTTCGGAGACAACGATGATCAAACACAGATAGTAGTATGTTGTCCTCACCTTGTAAAGACCAGGTCTTACACGCATAGAAAAGGACTGCTCTCACTGGCACATTGAAAATGGGACCATTTGCGAACAGACTAGTATCACGAGGGCTCCAAAGATGACCCAGATTGCCATAAGCCACTCTGACTTCCAATGTACGTGAATCTATCTCATCGCAGACTCAACCACCAGCGCTTACGAAGATACTGATGTACACAAACTTCTCATCTACTTATATCCTCTAAGTACGCAAAGTGAGTGCGGGTTCAGAGTCTATCTAGTTTTGACGATAGGGTCAATACATCCTCGATCAGAACAAAAACCAGCCTTAGAGTCAACCTTTCCGAGGTTTTGGACAATCTATGACATGAAGAAAGCCTATGTTTTGAACGGGATCGGAAGTAGATTCGCAGTCAACCTTCAATAAACCTTTTGAATTTTTTCTCCGGAATCAACTCGATAATGACAGTCAGTGTATAATCTTCTGGTGAGAGAATACTTCTAGCATCTGCATAAACAGCGCATGTGCTTCTAAAAGTAGTGCATCATTCAACTCAATAAATTTACTGTTAACCAGTTTACACATGCAATATTGAAAACTCTAATAGATCAGCACTAACAAATACATTTGTGAAGTGTGTATAATATTATTCGTACGGGAAATATCACAGTACGACCAACCGGAAATAAAAAAGACAAGTCCTTAGATAGATTACATAAAGACGTACAAATAACTTCCATTAAATATATAATGCGAGCAACTAAAATTAGATGCTTGTGCAACAAGACTGCGATACCTTATTGTAACGATTAATGCTTTATAAATCCTACCGAAATGTCTCGACAGCACTGTTGTTGATTGATGTTTTTCCAGGTGGTAGGAAAGGAAGTGTTGATACCATTGGTCTTTTTTAATGATGCTAACATTCCATCTTTAATAGCAGCAACTCCATACTTTCGTTCCTGGTCGAAGCCAATATTGTGACTGCTGTTTGCAGTTCAAGATGAAATTTCATGGTCAGCGGGTGTATCCAACGAAAATACGATGTTATTTCAAATTACTGTTATACGGACGGTCATAATTAACATTGTTGCCAACGTCATTTATCATAACAGCGTTGAAACGTTTTAGCACTGACTGAAAGCTAGTTCTCATGCTATTAATCATACACTATATCTGATTTTCCAATGACAGACAAATGATTGCACTATATCCTTCTCTCATTTTGGAAGTTGGTACTACAGTTGCGACAGTACGTTCTGCAGTTTAACATTTATCCTGAACTTGTATTATTATGCTTTCATACATTTCAGTCTTCTCTAACTGGACTTTTATTAGTTAACGCTGGTCGTCAGTAAAAATTAATAATGTTATTTCATTGTTTTCCAGTCAGGCCACTGCCTATGGGGTCTTGTTTGACTGAACTCAGGGTCACGTGTTTGAGTAAATGACAAGGGACCTCAGTATTCTAAAACCCAACAGGCTGGGGTCTGGTAAGCTTAAGATCATTAAAACCAAAATCGGCTACGTAGCACATTTAGGGACTATCCGTGCCCCTACCGCCCCCAGCCGTGATCACAAAAATATTGTAACAAGCTACAATGAGAAGAGTACAGAGCTTTCAACAGTCAAAGTGTATCAGCTAGGTATCTAGTACCGTATATTCAAGATTTCTCGGATGACCTACAGAGAATGAACTTATTCTCCAAGGTTAATTTGAACAATCTGTCTCACGGCATCCCAGTAGATGAAGATGTTTCCGAGACATTTACATATTTTAGATTGTTGGAGTTCGAGCAATTGCCATTTCATCCTGAACGTTGTACAAAATTTCAAATTTTTACCAACATTTTACTTCAAGTTATGCTTTACACCAAAGCATGATGCAGACGATCTGATGACTGACAGAATCGATATGAAATCACATGAACAGCATGTGAGAACTGTGTTGAAACCATAAAATGAAAAAAGAATGTACGTTCATCAAAGTGTGTTTCCAGGGTTGAGACTCTGTATTTTGTTTGACACCACAAATCAGTCAGCAAAAAGATAGAAATTCGTACGTACATAAATCAGTTCACGTTGCGATACCACATTAGCACATACATACAGTTATCGATTCAAATCTCGTAGGGGTAGAGATAATAAAAGTACAAGCAGTAATCGGAAAGATTAGGGTTTGAAGATGTTCACTGAAATAAATTTGAGCGGCTCAGTCCACTTGTCAGTGACTTCATGAACTTGTGCCATGTTTTGGTTTGGCCGCCCCTAGCTTTCTTCCAACCTACTCCTATACCACTGAACATAGCACGTCGAGGCAGTCGGTGGTTGGGCATACGTAACACGTGTCCCAGCCATCTCAACTGATGAAGTTTCACTACGTCATCAATTGATTTGCCATCCTTACCTAGTACCCGTTTCCTAACAACTGTGTTACTTACTCGATGGTCCCATGATATACGAGCAATGTTTCGAAGACGCCTATGATCAAATACTAGTAACCTACGGATATCCTCTACTCTTACCGGCCATGTTTCAC